CATCAGCCAATCAGCAGAGAGCAGCTCATTTGCATAAAACAGCGTGTCATCGAGAGGATGATCATGCAAAACTGAATTAGGACAAGAAACATTGACTGACATTCTGCATTATGCAAGCCTTCGAACATCAGTGTGTTGTAATATTGTGTGTCTCACTCCTCGGGTGATGTATTTGTGTTTTATGTAGCGTTGTGTTTACTGCTGAGCTTTCTTTTCCCCCTCACTCTTGGAAGAAGCTTTTGTTTTGCACAGACCACATTGTTAGAAATAACTGGTTGAAACTGGTTTCACAATTCCTGATCAAACTTATAATATTCAGGCTCAGGGAAGTTAAATGTGGGTCATTCTTGAAGAACAGGGAAGTGAAACAATACATCAACTGTCACTACTTGCACTATTTTTGCATTATGACAATTTTTCTTGACAGTTTAGCTCCACCCCTATGAATTGTACAAGAATTTAGTCATATATATATATATATATACACAGAGACAGTTTAAATGAATGAATCACTTGCATTCAAATAAAAGAAACCTAATTTTGTTTCAAAATTTGATGTAAACTCTTTATAATTGTGATTCAAAATAATGGTTAACTAATCTGGTTCCTATAATAGTCTTATGTAAAATGTAATGTAAAAATAGTACATGTATATTTAATATAGCCTATACAGTGCTAAGTAATAACTAATTAACTGTAATCAGATTCCTAAAATTAAGCTCTGTAATAGCATTATATTATGCAATTAAAATACTAAAGGCCACATAATTGTAGCACAAGAATAAAATGTCTGTTTACCATCTCTGAAAACGAACACAACGCAGTTCATGACTTAAACAGGTATTTGACTGACGAAGTACATTAATGTTTCATACAGGGCACACAAAACACCAACCTTATTCACATCAGTCTCTATAGGGCACAGCTGATTGGTTCCTGCTTTATCATTAGCCAATGAGCTCGCTCGCTGCTCAACATTTAATTACTTGGTCTCCATTTGCAGCACTTTCAGAAACTCCACCTTCCCCAGTTCCACCTGTATTGATCTGCCACGTCTATTCATTTATGCTATAATGTACAGAAGCAGCATGCCTTGCTCTGTAACAGCAATAACCAGCAAAAATAGCAGCGACAGAAATAGCAGCAGCAGAAATGGCAGCAGCGATGGCAGAAATAGCAGTAGCAGAAATGGCAGCAGCAGAAGTGGCGGCAGTGGCGGCAGACATAGCGGCAGCAGAAATAGCAGTAGCAGAAATGGCAGCAGTGGCGGCAAAAATAGCGGCAGCAGCAATGGTGGCAGAAATAGCGGCGGCTGAAATAGCGGCGGCTGAAATAGCGGCGGCAGAAATAGCAGCAGCAGAAATAGCGGCAGCAGAAATGGCAGCAGTGGCGGCAAAAATAGCGGCAGCAGAAATAGCAGCAGTGGCGGCAGAAATGGCAGCAGCAGAAATAGCGGCGGCAGAAATGGCAGCAGTGGCGGCAGAAATAGCGGCAGCAGAAATAGCGGCGGCAGAAATGGCAGCAGTGGCGGCAAAAATAGCGGCAGCAGAAATGGCAGCAATGGTGGCAGAAATAGCGGCGGCAGAAATAGCAGCAGTGGCGGCAAAAATAACGGCGGCAGAAATAGCGGCAGCAGAAATAGCAGCAGTGGCGGCAAAAATAGTGGCGGCAAAAATAGCGGCAGTGGCGGCAGAAATGGCAGCAGCAGAAATAGCGGCGGCAGAAATGGCAGCAGTGGCGGCAGAAATAGCAGCAGCAGAAATAGCGGCAGCAGAAATAGCAGTAGCAGAAATGGCAGCAGTGGCGGCAAAAATAGCGGCAGCAGAAATGGCAGCAATGGTGGCAGAAATAGCAGCAGCAGAAATAGCAGCAGTGGCGGCAAAAATAGTGGCGGCAAAAATAGCGGCGGCAGAAATAGCGGCGGCAGAAATAGCAGCAGCAGAAATAGCAGCAGTGGCGGCAAAAATAGTGGCGGCAAAAATAGCGGCGGCAGAAATAGCGGCGGCAGACATAGCGGCAGCAGCAGAAATGGCAGCAGTGGCGGCAAAAATAGCGGTAGCAGAAATGGCAGCAGTGGCGGCAGAAATGGCAGCAGCAGAAATAGCGGCGGCAGAAATAACGGCAGCAGCAGAAATGGCAGCAGTGGCGGAAAAAATAGCGGTAGCAGAAATGGCAGCAGTGGCGGCAGAAATGACAGCAGCAGAAATAGCGGCAGCAGAAATAGCAGTAGCAGAAATGGCAGCAGTGGCAGCAAAAATAGCGGCAGCAGAAATGGCAGCAATGGTGGCAGAAATAGCGGCGGCAGAAATAGCAGCAGTGGCGGCAAAAATAGCGGCGGCAGAAATAGCAGCAGCAGAAATGGCAGCAATGGTGGCAGAAATAGCAGCAGCAGAAATAGCAGCAGTGGCTGCAAAAATAGTGGCGGCAAAAATAGCGGCGGCAGAAATAGCAGCAGCAGAAATAGCAGCAGTGGCGGCAAAAATAGTGGCGGCAGAAATAGCGGCGGCAGAAATAGCAGCAGCAGAAATAGCAGCAGTGGCGGCAAAAATAGTGGCGGCAGAAATGGCAGCAGCAGAAATAGCGGCGGCAGAAATGGCAGCAGTGGCGGCAGAAATGGCAGCAGCAGAAATAGCGGCGGCAGAAATGGCAGCAGCAGAAAAAGCGGCGGCAGAAATGGCAGCAGTGGCGGCAGAAATGGCGGCAGAAATGGCAGCAGCAGAAATAGCGGCGGCAGAAATGGCAGCAGTGGCGGCAGAAATAGCAGCAGCAGAAATAGCGGCAGCAGAAATAGCAGTAGCAGAAATGGCAGCAGTGGCGGCAAAAATAGCGGCAGCAGAAATGGCAGCAATGGTGGCAGAAATAGCGGCGGCAGAAATAGCAGCAGTGGCGGCAAAAATAGTGGCGGCAAAAATAGCGGCGGCAGAAATAGCGGCGGCAGAAATAGCAGCAGCAGAAATGGCAGCAGTGGCGGCAAAAATAGTGGCGGCAAAAATAGCGGCGGCAGAAATGGCAGCAGCAGAAAATAGCGGCGGCAGAAATGGCAGCAGCAGAAAATAGCGGCGGCAGAAATGGCAGCAGCAGAAATAGCGGCGGCAGAAATAGCGGCGGCAGAAATAGCGGCGGCAGAAATGGCAGCAGCAGAAATAGCGGCGGCAGAAATGGCAGCAGCGGCGGCAGAAATAGCAGCAGATTCAGCAGATATAGCAGCGGCAGAAAAACAGCAGTGGAGCAGAAATGGCAGCGCGGCAGAAATAGCAGCAATGCGGCAGAAATAGTGACAGAAAAGCAGCAGCGGCAGAAATAGAAACAGCAACAAAATTGGCAGCAGCAGTAGAATTAAGAGCGGCAGCAGCAAAGCAACAGCGGCAGAAATAGAAACAGCAACAGAAATGGCGGCAGCAGCAGCAGAAATAAGAGCAGCTGCAGAAATGGCAGCGGCGGCAGACTGATCAACAATGTCATATTCATTACCATGCCAAACACTCAGAGTTGTCATGACAAAAGTGTTTTCAAACAGTTTTTTTTTTATTTGCCAGATGTAAACCCCTTTCTTAACATTTACGCCAGATTTCTTTACACAGCCCAATATCCATAATCACAATCCAAACAACATCCCTCCGTTTTGGTTAAATTCTGCTTCATTTGCCTATAAATCATTAGAAAGCTCTAAAGTTGTATTATAAAGTATTACATTTAATATGAAAAAAAAAATTCTTCATTTTTGCCACTGGGATAAAACAAAAAAAACATTTCTCTACACTGAAGAAAAACGTATGGATTTTTCTTTTATTACCCAAATAGGGTGTTGTGAGCATTAGTACATGTTTCATTCATACTCGTAGCACTTCACATATTTAAAAAGCAGCGTTTTTAATTTAAGGTTCAACATTTCCATGAATTTACTGATTCTGTTCAGTCGCTGTGTGTGTGTGAGTGTGTGTCGTGGGCGACTGATGTACTGATCAAGGAATCTGAATAAAGCTCCTCCTGCTTTTGTTCTCCTGCACACACACACACACACACACACGTGCGCTTCTGCATGCTCTTGCGTCTCTACTGCTGTTTGTTATCTGGGTTCCTCTCGCTGAGCAAAACAAGCCTATCGCTTCCAGGAAGAACACGATGACCTGGTGAACAACACACGTATTATTACCATTATTATTATTATTATAGCTGCTAGAAATGCTTTTAGCGTGACTATTCATGGAAACCAGATCTCGTCATATTTTGTTTCTTTCCCTCGGTTCATCATTGCTCTCGTTCTGCGTGACCTTTGACCTGCACATCCTCATTTCATTATGCAGTGTGTTTCTGTAACTGTGTCTGAGCTCAATGCAAAATTCATTGTTTTTCACATCTCACTCTTTATTTGTGTAATTGACACCGTTAGTTAACAGATGGGCCGATTAACGTGCAAATAAGCGGGAAAAGTTGTTTTATTGGTGACGCTTTACAATAAGGTTCAATAGTTAACATGAACTAAAGAATGAGCAATACTTGATATTAATTTCAAAATGTGCTAATGCATTATTCAAATCAAAGCTTTTATTTGTTAATGTGACCTAATAATAACAAAGATTAATGAATACATTTTTGCTCATTGTTAGTTAATATACCTTATTGGAAAGTGTTACGGTTTTATTCATATGCATCTCGCTTTCGGTCTGCGTTCTCCAAATGCAACAGCTGATGTTTTGCTGTGGATAAAGCATCTGGTAAATGCATAAATGCAGTGTATTATGTAAAAATGTTTCGTCCACTGATCTCTCGTGTCTGTGCGAGATGTTTGAGTAGATGAGGTGTGTTTTCTGACCGATTCTCTCGTGTTCGAAGGACTAGTTTAGTAAGATTATGCCTGAAAAGGTTAATTGAAAAAATAATTGTGTAATAAGACTTTTTTTTTCCTTTTTTGTATTTATATGATATTTGTATTTTTTGTGAAATGAAAATAGTCTTGTATGCTGACATGCATTAAATGAAACCCTCTCTGGTGTTCTCAGTGATGGATGCCATGGCCGTGAGCACGTCAGCGGCGGGTCCCGATGAGTTCGACCGCAACGCGCCGCGCATCTGTGGAGTGTGTGGAGACAAAGCCTCCGGTTTCCACTTCAACGCCATGACCTGCGAGGGCTGCAAGGGCTTCTTCAGGTAAACCTCCGTCATTACCACCAGATCAGGGACGAACAGCGATTTACATGATGCTGCTGTTATCCAATGCATTTAACCAAAATGTAATACGTGTTGTTTTTTTTAAACAAATGTATTTTACTCAGTTTATTAATGTTTTTACTACACTTATGTGCAGTTTTTGTAGGATTTATTATATATTTTTTTACATTTTTTACATTTACTTTTTTTTTAAATAGGTTTTTATTTAAAAAAAAACCAACAAAAAACGTTTTTTTTCCAAGGGCTTCTTCAGGTGAACGTATCATCCGTTAACACCAGATCATGGAAAAACTGGAAATTACATTTCTGTAGTTATTAATGCTAGTTATTTTAATAGATTTTTAACAATTGTGCGTGCTTCGTTTGCAAGGGAAAAACAAAAAACAAAACAAAAGAAATGTCATTTTACTCTGTTTATTAATGTTTTTAATACACATTTGTGCAGTTTTCGTAGGATTTATTATATATTTTTTTTTACATTTTTTACATTTACTTTTTTTTTTAAATAGGTTTTTATTTAAAAAAACAACAAAAAAACGCTTTTTTCCAAGGGCTTCTTCAGGTGAACGTATCATCCGTTAACACCAGATCATGGAAAAACTGGAAATTACATTTCTGTAGTTATTAATGCTGCTTATTTTAATAGATTTTTAACCCTTGTGCGTGCTTCGTTTGCAAGGGACAAAAAAACAAAAAACAAAACAAAAGAAATGTCATTTTACTCTGTTTATTAATGTTTTTACTACACTTATGTGCAGTTTTTGTAGGATTTATTATATATTTTTTACATTTATGTAAATATATAAATACCTTTTTTTTTTTTAAATAGGTTTTTATTTAAAAAAACAACAAAAAAACGCTTTTTTCCAAGGGCTTCTTCAGGTAGATGTATCATCCGTTAACACCAGATCATGGAAAAACTGGAAATTACATTTCTGTAGTTATTAATGCTGCTATTTTTAATAGATTTTTAACCCTTGTGCGTGCTTCGTTTGCAAGGGACAAAAAAAACAAAAAAAACAAAAGAAATGTCATTTTACTCTGTTTATTAATGTTTTTAATACACATTTGTGCAGTTTTCGTAGGATTTATTATATTTTTTTAAATTTTTATAAATACATTTTTTAATAGGTTTTTATGAAGCAAAACAAAAAGGGCTTCAGGTAAACGTCTCGTCCGTCACCGCCAGATCATGGACAAACTGGGATTTACATTTCTGTGGTGAATAATCTACACGTGCATTTAAAGGTGCAGTGTGTAATATTCAGGAGGATCTGTTGACAGAAATGCAATATCATATACATAACTATGTGTTCAGTGGTGTGTAAAGAGCTTGCATAATGAAGCGTAATGTTTTTATTAGCTACACACACCGCGGGTCCGCTTACATCCACGTTTCTACGGTGGCCCTGAGCGGACAAACGCGTTTCGTCACTTTGTGTAAAGAAGCTGCGAATAAAACACTGACACAATGATGGACAAGTGGCAATAATATTCGCAATAACATCGTTTTACTGAATAATTAAGTGAACCTAATTTCTTATTTAATCTTTGTAAAGAAACATTGTTTAACTGGCTACTCTCTGCTGTCTCACACGACGACATCACTTCCTGTCGGCCACCGTAACTTCTGTTAGGTGCAATTCACAACCTCACCACTAGATGCTGCTAAAACTTACACACTGCAGCTAACTCAATGGCATTTTTATCATCAGTACATTTTTGATCATAAGTCTTGGAGTATCACAATATTATCGTATCGTGAATCGTGACAGACAGTACAGGCGCATATATTACGTAAACACAACGTGATTAATCGTTGCCCCAGCACTAATATTAACATTCCTTGAGGTACACATAAAGTGACTATTATTTTCAACCCTGTGTCTGAAATGATCTGTTTTTAAGGCGTGGCTCGTTTAAGGCTTGTCAGTAATTATGATTGGCTGACGGTATTTGCTTAGGAAACCACATCAACGGCCACTCACCAGAGCATGCGAGTAAGGGTTATTAAAACGTGATCCATATAAAACTGTCATTCACAGATATATTTACAGGTTTGTGATGCAGGTCATATACGGTCTCATATACGGTCTCAGAAGCTTCTCTGCCAACTCTTTATTACACCGTTCACATGTTTAATTAAAAAAAACACTTATTTTTTAAAAGAAGAAATGCTTTTATTCATCAAGGACGCACTAAGTGGATCAAAAGTGACTGACATTTATAATGTTATAAAAGATTTCCCTCGTTTATTACATTATGTTCTATTCAGCCAAAGAAACCTGAAAAACAAAGTGAACTGTTTAATGTATATAATTCATAATTTAATGACTTATTTCAAACCTTTGAATAGTACGGTAGCGTATGAAATTCCAGGTTGCAATTATTAAAGCTGAAATCTTCATAAAAACATAAACGCATGATTGACGCATGAAGCGACTGAAATAAAACGTTTTTTTCTGCTTATGTAACCTAATGGAGCGAGTGTTTAAAGCGGTGGTTGATTATGATTATGATTCCACTTTTCTAGCTGTAGTCAGTGTGTAATGTTGAAGTTTGAGCATAAACAACATCTGCAAAGTTACGACGCTCACAGTTCAAAGCAAAGGGAGATATGTGCGTTTTAAAGAAATCGTTTTTTAAGGACTACAACAAACACCTGGTAAGGACTACACAAGCTTCCTCCCGGGTTAGTGACATCACAAACACTAGAATTTACATAAGCCCCGCCCCCAGAACACGCAGCGCATGTTGAGGAGAGGAAGAGAGCACATTTAGAAGCTCAAGCTGTCGCGTTCGCCTTTTCGCACGCAATCGAATAGCGTCTCACAACAGTTCCACACCAGCCATTTATAAATTAGCATGATGGAATACGCTAATTGAAGATCGTTAACTCCACATCAAAGATAAATCCATCAACTAAGCATTCTTGGTGATCCTAGCGATGTCATGTAGATGGAGAAGAGAAGCGGTCCCAGCACTGAGCCCTGAGGCACTCCAGTAGCTAAATACCCAGCGGCAAACCTTCTGATGTCTGAAAACTGAAGTGACTTAAACTGCAGTTCCTCCACTGGCCACTAGAGACCAGCTGCAAAAGAAAGCCAATCCCATAAACCCCCATGTTAAAATGCCCAAGAAATAAACATGTTTACTAGGGGTGTAACGGTATACAAAAATCACGGTTCGGTACGTACCTCGGTTTTAAAGTCACGGTTCGGTACGTTTTCGATACAGCAAAAAGAAAGAAATGCCAGAGAAATGTACTATTTGTTTAAAGAAAAAATATTTTTAAATAAGTGTGAGTTTTCCTAGATCTTGAAACTTTCAGGTTTATAAATGGGTCATCTTTGAAGGATGAACAAATAATGTTTTGGTCATCACATTAAAAATAACATTTAAATATATATTTATTTATATAATATTTGAATTTTGAAGTGCTGGAAAAAGATGTGTGAAGTACTTGAAAGCATTTCACCATTCCAGCCAAACTGGTTCCAGTTAGTGTTACTACATTAAATCCATGGTGAATTGTACATTTAGTATGAAGTGTGGGTATGTGTAAAGCTGTTGACTTATGTTATTCATACAATACCACAAGAAAAAACAAAAAATATTTAAAGTTGTAAATATATACTGTAGATACAATAACATGAACGCAAAATGCAATGTAAATAAATACAAGCAGTTCCTTACTTTATGGCTTTTTTTAACTGGAGTAACCATGTGATGGCAGCGTGCACATAATGACATAGGCACGTAGGGTTATAAAAGATAACGTAAGAGTAAATGATGCACGCGCGTGCACAACTATCACCCCTGCGCTGGGTGCGCCCCTTCCCCTTTAACCGAGGAGCTAATGCATCTGTGTAAAACACGCATAGGAAAAAAAGAACGACAGAAAGAACGGCTCCCCTCCAGCCGCGACTCGGCTCCCATCGTTCATGTTTATGAGCTGTTCAAAAGAATCGGTTCGTTCGCGAACGTCACAACTCTAGTCCGAACTGATAAACGATCCATGAAGCACATAACGAGCAGCGCAGTTTCGTTCTGCTTTCATTACGCTTGCCATTTGATGTTGCGCAACGTTGTGTTGGCCGCGTCAGCTCGAATTTTGCCGGCAGGAAAAATGGTCCAAGCAATCGTTCGGTTTGTATGCGTACCGAACCGGAAGCCTCGAACCGAAACGGTTCAATACGAATACATGTACCGTTACACCCCTAATGTTTACAGTCTGGTGCAAAAAGTGGTTTTGGTCTATATCGCTAATTTTGTCCTTCATGTGAATTTTTTTACAACTCATCCGTTTAAATTATATTAAGCCTTATAAAGTTGTGCATAATTAAAGGGTTAGTTCTCCCAAAAATGAAAATTCTGTCAGTATTTACTCACCCTCATGTTGTTCCAACCCTGTAAGACCTTCGTTCATCTTCGCAACACAAATTAAGATATTTAAGATATTAAGATCGCTCCATAGGCTTCTTGAGGGAATGACTCGAAAAGTCATTAAAGACATCGTTAAAATAGTCCAAGTGACTACAGGGGCCAATCTTAAGTTTATCAAACGACGAGAACACTTTTGTGCGCAAAAAACAACAAAAATAACGACTTTATTTCAAGTATTCGTTTATTTCTCCCTCTGCGCGAGTCAGGTTACTAGTTTAATAGCGTAAGCTTCTGTTATTGTACGTCACACGCATCATCACACACATGACCAGCGTCGGCCAATAGTGAGCCTACGTGTGACGTAGCTTTACGCAATCACACTACGTTAACTGACTACAGGCTCATGGAGAAGGAAGTGAATAGTTGAAATAAAGTCGTTATTTTTGTTGTTTTTTTGCGCACAAAAGTGTTCTCGTCGTTTGATAAAGTTAAGATTGAGCCGCTGTAGTCACTTGGACTATTTTAACGATGTCTTTAATGACTTTTCGGGGACAGCAAGAGCCAGTCCCTCAAGAAGCCTATGGAGCGATCTTAATATCTTAAATATCTTAATTTGTGTTGCGAAGATGAACGAAGGTCTTACGGGGTTGGAACAACATGAGGGTGAGGAAATACTGACAGAATTTTCATTTTTGGGTGAACTAACCCTTTAAAGGCGTGGCCGCTTGAGTGACAGGTGGATTGCCGCTGATGTCACTGCTAGCCGTTTGTCTGCTGTGTGTTAGCGCCACGTCACCTCAGCTAATCCGCCTCGCTGCACATGTTCGTTTATCGTTCGGGAGTGACGCGGCCAAGATGGCGACGGCCGGCTCCGCCCACTTAATGCTCTTTAGAAACACTACGGGTGATGTCACGCACATTATTTCACAGTCTATGGTAGAGACCAATCAGACACTGTTTTACAGCGAGAACACGCTTGGATTGGACAGGTCGCTCAGATTGACAGGTCTGGATTTACCAGCGCTGGAAGATCATCACTCATCAGCATTGTCACTTGTTCTATGTAATTATAAATATTTTATGATTTGTGGTTTGCACATGAAACAAGTTTTTTAATTGCTTTGAGATATCAGAAATAAATTTAGCCTGGCAGCGGTTCACGTGTTCGTGAACACGCCCAAACTGGATTTTATGACTTGTCATATATACTTTATAATAGGAATCAAAGTCAAGCATGAGTAACAAAATTACATACATTTTTATGGGGTTTTCCCAGCAGCGACGTAACAAAAGAACCTCCAAACATGAATTAAATATTTCCTTTATAAAAATAAACACAAGATATCATCAAGTACATGGTCTCATTTGATAGAAAACGTTTCAAAGTTTAGAGTAATAACTCATAAAAATGCCTTCAGGGTGTGAGGGGTTAACAGAGCTTATTCAAGGCTGGATCAACTGTTAAAATACTGACTGCACCATTTATAATAATATTACAGTTTTCTTTCACTGTCGCCGCCGAAACATGTCTGGCTCTTTTCCTCTGATCACATGGTGTGTTTACATGTGTTTACAGATGATAGCGGTGTGTGTGTGTGTTGTGTGATTGCTTTTATTTAGTAAAGGGGTGTGTGCACACACAGTACATGTATATTTTTTGTGTAAATATGAACTTAATTTTAATATATTTAATATATATATAAACACGCACACACACAGTTATTATATACGTCTCTTAAATATTGTATAATATTAAAATCATGTAAATTCATTTTTAAAATTTGTATGAATATAAACTAAAAATTTATATATATTTTATATTTATGGATTAGAAAAATATCTAATGTTGTTATATACTTATTACATATAATTCTTAATATATATATATATATAAATTAGAAATATGCATAAAGTGCTTGTTATCGTGACCAACTCATTAGAACCATGTCTCTTGCATATTGCATATGTTGTGTTTTTATCTACCAGATTGACTTGTACAGTTGTAAGTGATTTCTAACGCTCTTCATCTGTGTGTGTGTGTGTGTGTGTGTCTCAGGCGCAGTATGAAGCGCAAGGCCAGCTTTACCTGCCCGTTCAGTGGAAACTGCTCCATCACCAAAGACAACCGGCGTCACTGCCAGGCCTGTCGTCTGAAGCGCTGCGTCGACATCGGCATGATGAAGGAGTGTGAGTGTCACCAGAGGTCAGAGGTCACGGCCTGGGTCGCCAGAGCCCATAAACACAGGGCAAACAATCATCGTGTGAAAGAACGACCACGATGCCTTCAGACACTAGAGATCAGACACAAACACTGACATCTAAAGTACGATTAAACTAACTAAATTTGATTAAAATTGAAAAAAAAAAAAATAATATTATAAACATAAACAATTAGCTTAAAATAAATAAATAAAAACATTAAAATAAGAAATATTCAAATAAATAATTAATACTTCTAATAGTGAGTCAGTTGGAGAAGTTTAGATAAGCAATGTAATAATAAAAATAAGATTAACATTATTTAAATCAATTTAAATAAATGATAATTAATTAGCTAAATAAACAAAAACATACTCAAACTCAAATAAATTAAACTATTTGATTAAAATAAATAATATCTAATAAGGGAGTGCTAGTGGGTCAGTGGAAACGTTCAGAGAGAAGCCTTTAAATAACAGACGATTGATTAAAATAAATTAATACATTTGATTCAAATAAATAAAAACAATTGGCATAAGTACATTTGATTAAAACAAATAAATGCTACATCGAATAGTACAGCGCTAAAGTGAGGAGGAAAAACGTGTAATGCAATAAAAGCAAAATATTATATTTTCCACATTTATATTGTATATTTGAGGTCTAAACAATTACTTTCTCACCTGAAACCTCTTAAAACAGCGTTCTGTGACGCAAGAACAGCAGTGTTTGCCAAACAGAGGCTTCTCCACCATTGACTCTTTCTGGGAGAAAAGATCCGGCAGAAACGAGCGGAGTGATACGAACTGTGAAGTATAATTATGTATATAGTCTGCAGTTTTTGTGTAAGATCATCTGTCTTTTTATTTTTAACTCTCATCTTTGCCCTGGGTCGTTAAATAAAAAATAACAAAAAATCTCTGAAAAAGTTGAATAAAAAATAGAATAACTTCTTATAATTGTAGGTGTTTCGGCTCATTTTGAGCCGCGATGGAAAGATGTTAGAAAGTGTGGCGGCGTGATTTTCATTTAATTATACATTTAATGATTATTTTAACAGCAAGTGTTCTGAGTGTTAGAAAGCGGCATCAATTAAAACATCTGCTTTGTTTCAGCGTAAACTGGTTGATTCCCGACTTTAGAAGCACACACACTCTTTCTCACACACAAACACAGTTCATTTCAGGAAACATAGTTGCTGTTTCCAAACTCTGCTGAGAGAGAGAGAGAGAGAGAAAGCCAACAATGATGCTTTTTCTCCATGAAGTTGCACAATAGGCGACCCAGATTTCCCTGTTGTGGGAGAGGCCGGCCGCTACTTTTAAAGCGAAAACGGATACAATCGGGGTGTAAAAGAGTCTCTTTGTGTGTCGAATATATGTTCGGATGAGGACAGAAGGTCAGAGGTCAGCAGGTCAAAGGTCAGAGTTTTTATAGCCAGTGAGATGTTGATCTCACACTATAGGATACTGTGATGATGTCACACTATAGGAGACTGTGATGATGTCACACTATAGGAGACTTTGATGATGTCACACTATAGGAGACTGTGATGATGTCACACTATAGGAGACTGTGATGATGTCACACTATAGGATACTGTGATGATGTCACACTATAGGAGACTGTGAAGATGTCACACTATAGGATACTGTGATGATGTCACACTATAGGAGACTGTGAAGATGTCACACTATAGGAGACTGTGATGATGTCACACTATAGGAGACTGTGATGATGTCACACTATAGGAGACTGTGAAGATGTCACACTATAGGAGACTTTGATAATGTCACACTATAGAAGACTGTGATGATGTCACACTATAGGAGACTGTGATGATGTCACACTATAGGAGACTGTGATGATGTCACACTATAGGATACTGTGATGATGTCACACTATAGGAGACTGTGAAGATGTCACACTATAGGAGACTGTGATGATCTCACACTATAGGAGACTGTGATGATGTCACACTATAGGATACTGTGATGATGTCACACTATAGGAGACTTTGATGATGTCACACTATAGAAGACTGTGATGATGTCACACTATAGGAGACTGTGATGATGTCGCACTATAGGAGACTGTGAAGATGTCACACTATAGGAGACTTTGATAATGTCACACTATAGAAGACTGTGATGATGTCACACTATAGGAGACTGTGATGATGTCACACTATAGGAGACTGTGATGATGTCACACTATAGGAGACTGTGATGATGTCACACTAGGAGACTGTGATGATGTCACACTATAGGAGACTGTGAAGATGTCACACTATAGGAGACTTTGATGATGTCACACTATAGGAGACTTTGATAATGTCACACTATAGAAGACTGTGATGATGTCACACTATAGGAGACTGTGATGATGTCACACTATAGGAGACTGTGATGATGTCACACTATAGGAGACTGTGATGATGTCGCACTATAGGAGACTGTGAAGATGTCACACTATAGGAGACTTTGATAATGTCACACTATAGAAGACTGTGATGATGTCACACTATAGGAGACTGTGATGATGTCACACTATAGGAGACTGTGATGATGTCACACTATAGGAGACTGTGATGATGTCACACTATAGGAGACTTTGATGATGTCACACTATAGAAGACTGTGATGATGTCACACTATAGGAGACTGTGATGATGTCACACTATAGGATACTGTGATGATGTCACACTATAGGAGACTGTGAAGATGTCACACTATAGGAGACTTTGATAATGTCACACTATAGAAGACTGTGATGATGTCACACTATAGGAGACTTTGATAATGTCACACTATAGAAGACTGTGATGATGTCACACTATAGGAGACTGTGATGATGTCACACTATAGGAGACTGTGATGATGTCACACTATAGGATACTGTGATGATGTCACACTATAGGAGACTGTGAAGATGTCACACTATAGGAGACTGTGATGATCTCACACTATAGGAGACTGTGATGATGTCACACTATAGGATACTGTGATGATGTCACACTATAGGAGACTTTGATGATGTCACACTATAGAAGACTGTGATGATGTCACACTATAGGAGACTGTGATGATGTCGCACTATAGGAGACTGTGAAGATGTCACACTATAGGAGACTTTGATAATGTCACACTATAGAAGACTGTGATGATGTCACACTATAGGAGACTGTGATGATGTCACACTATAGGAGACTGTGATGATGTCACACTATAGGAGACTGTGATGATGTCACACTAGGAGACTGTGATGATGTCACACTATAGGAGACTGTGAAGATGTCACACTATAGGAGACTTTGATGATGTCACACTATAGGAGACTTTGATAATGTCACACTATAGAAGACTGTGATGATGTCACACTATAGGAGACTGTGATGATGTCACACTATAGGAGACTGTGATGATGTCACACTATAGGAGACTGTGATGATGTCGCACTATAGGAGACTGTGAAGATGTCACACTATAGGAGACTTTGATAATGTCACACTATAGAAGACTGTGATGATGTCACACTATAGGAGACTGTGATGATGTCACACTATAGGATACTGTGATGATGTCACACTATAGGAGACTGTGATGATGTCACACTATAGGAGACTGTGATGATGTCACACTATAGGAGACTGTGATGATGTCACACTATAGGAGACTGTGATGATGTCACACTATAGGAGACTGTGATGATGTCACACTATAGGAGACTTTGATAATGTCACACTATAGAAGACTGTGATGATGTCACACTATAGGAGACTGTGATGATGTCACACTATAGGAGACTGTGATGATGTCGCACTATAGGATACTGTGATGATGTCACACTATAGGAGACTGTGAAGATGTCACACTATAGGAGACTTTGATAATGTCACACTATAGAAGACTGTGATGATGTCACACTATAGGAGACTGTGAAGATGTCACACTATAGGAGACTGTGATGATGTCACACTATAGGAGACTGTGATGATGTCACACTATAGAAGACTGTGATGATGTCACACTATAGGAGACTGTGATGATGTCACACTATAGGAGACTGTGATGATGTCACACTATAGGATACTGTGATGATGTCACACTATAGGAGACTTTGATAATAGGTGTGTTCGACATCGCCTGCGGCTGGATGCAACCGATCGGCGAGAACAGCCGCGTGCAGGCGGGGAGGAGCTGCAAACGGAGACGTGAAGTCGAACAATTTCTGGTTCCCGTAGTGACGGCTCACGTGGTGTTTGCATGCTTATAGGCTACCACAGCTGAAGTGAAATAAATGCAACATTTGCCAAATAAACAGAAATTTCAGACACATTTTCATCCAATACTTTACTGCTTCATACAGCATCTGTTTGAACTAGAATAAAGTTCAAAATAAGCCAATAATCAATGACGTGGAATCAACGTTTTTTAATCAGTTTTATTTTGATAAACATGATAAACATGACACAATATAACATTGCGACTACATGAAAAGAGTGTTTACTGTTATAAAATACTGATTTGTGAGCTTTAGTGGAACTAAACGTGTGAGAATAAACACGAAACGCACGTGATCGTTGTCATGCGGTGAATCCGGCGAATCGTGGAACAGCTGTGACATCATCAGAGCTCGTGCAGCCGCTCTTGAGAAGCTGCGCTGGCTGAGTCCTCCGGCTACTCTCGTATCGCTCTCGCGGTACTTTGATGGCATATGTCACAGTCACGTGGAGTCAGCGCTGCATCAAGTCGGACAAAAATTCTAACCGGCATGCACTGTTTCAAGTCAGCCGACGATCGGTCTGCGCAGAGCTGCATGAAGTCGAACAAGCCTTATGTCACACTATAGGAGACTGTGATGATGTCACACTATAGGATACTGTGATGATGTCACACTATAGGATACTGTGATGATGTCACACTATAGGAGACTGTGATGATGTCACACTATAGGAGACTGTGATGATGTCACACTATAGGAGACTGTGATGATGTCACACTATAGGAGACTGTGATGATGTCACACTATAGGAGACTGTGATGATGTCACACTTGGAGACTGTGATGATGTCACACTAGGAGACTGTAATGATTTCACACTGTAGGATACTGTGATGATGTCACACTAGGAGACTGTGATGATGTCACACTATAGGAGACTCTGATGATGTCACACTGTAGGATACTAATTGAAAGGTTGAAATAAATGTGTGTGTTATGATATTAACTGTGAAACCGCAGTGATCTCTCATCGGTTTGTTCAAACTCCAGTTTCCTGCCGACTACATTTTTTCAGTTTAGTGTAAATGTGTGTTCGGGAACAGTTGAATCTCGCTCAGAACCCAGACGGAGGCCTGAGATAGAGACAAACACACAGATGGCACTCGGTCTAGACGGGCACAAGCCTGGCATCGGCCCACTCCAGAGGAACACTGGCCCTCAACAGACGTGCTGATCTGTGTGTGTGTGTCTGTCACCAGAGTCTCTGAGATAAAGAGTCTGGCGGACGTCCTCATCTAGTTTGAGCCAAGAGAATATCAGCGTGAGAGTGTGTGTAAATGTCACTCGGGTGAATACAGGGCTGTTACTCCCTTTCACACACTCTTGTGTTCAGGCTCGACTAGATCATGTTTTCCTGCTTGAATGTTGATTATTCTCCTCATATTGTTGCGGCTCCTCTCTTCCCAGTCTCTCAGTATCGCTCTGTTCATTTCCTGTCTCTATGAAGCCCCTCCTCCTGAAAAGCACACTGTGCTCTGATTGGTCGGCTGGAGCAGTGTGTTGTGATTGGTCGAGCGCTTTGACTGTGTTTGGGAAATGTCCCGCCTCTTTTTATAGTTTATCATAGGTTTATGTTTGTGTAATTTTACGTGCATTTATTAAAATGTGTGCATATCTTTAATTTAAGTTTGTAATTTGATGTAATGTAATTTTCTGGATATAATGTAATTTTAGCGCTTCATTTCATTTATTTGCGACACAAACGACCTTGTAACCAATCAGATCGTCCCCCAGTGGATCTCTGAGTGAGTGGAGGTGGAGCTCATTTGCATATTCATAGAACTTCACATACTAAATGAGGCAAGGGTGTCGAATTACATTCAAGATACAGTATTTTAAGGCATGAAGAAGGAAAAAACTTGTAAATATGTCATGTTGGTGATCAAAGATGGTTTAAGGGATACCCTGACGTTTCTTCACCGTGTCACTGCTCGTGTCTCTCAGTCATCCTGACGGACGAGGAGGTGCAGAGGAAGAAGGATCTGATCCTGAAGCGGAAGGAGGAGGAGGCGGCGCGTGAGGCGAGGAAACCTCGTCTGAGTGAAGAACAGAGGCAGATCATCAACACACTGATGGAGGCGCACCACAAGACCTACGACGACTCCTACTCCGACTTCGTGCGCTTCAGGGTCAGTGCATAAAATCAGGAAATATTACTCCAGTGGAAATCAGTCAAATAAAATAAAATACAGTAAAGGGTAATTTATTTGATGTTTCATGAATTAAACCTTTATTTTCTATAAATGTGTTTTATGGGAGAAGTATCTGTAAAATACGCACACTTATACAAACAAACAAATGAATGATGTTAGTCTTTTTGTCCTGGCATTATATATATATATATATATATATGAAGAGTTCAGATGCAAAAGCCTCTAAATGCCATTTGAAATTTTCTTCTAAAATGACCATTTTTATCAAGCTTGTATATTTAAGTTCAGTAATTTCACTTAAATAACAATTAATAGGTAATTTTCATTGCCATTTACGGAGGCGTATTGCATTCACTTGAAGAAAAAAAAATCTACTCTGTTTTTCTGAATTAACGAGTTAATTTTTCATGGAATTTTTTTTTGCTCTGTTTTTCTGAATTAATGAGTTAATTCAGAAAAAACAGAGCAAAAACTTTTTTTCTCACGAAAAATTAACTCATTAATTCAGAAAAACAGAGCAAAAAATTTTTTTCTCATGAAAAATTAACTCATTAACTCAGAAAAACAGAGCAAAAAAATTCTCATGAAAAATTAACTCGTTAATTCAGAAAAACAGAGCAAAAAAAAATTTTCTCATGAAAAATTAACTCATTAATTCAGAAAAACAGAGAAATTTTTTTTTGTCTCATGAAAAATTAACTCATTAATTCAGAAAAACAGAGAAAAAATTTTTTTCTCATGAAAAATTAACTCGTTAATTCAGAAAAACAGAGCAAAACTTTTTTCTCACGAAAAATTAACTCATTCATTCAGAAAAACAGAGCAAAAAATGTTTTTCTCAAGAAAAATTAACTCATTAATTCAGAAAAACAGAGCAAAAAATTTTTTTCTCAAGAAAAATTAACTCATTAATTCAGAAAAACAGAGAAAAACTTTTTTTCTCACGAAAAATTAACTCATTAATTCAGAAAAACAGAGAAAAACTTTTTTTCTCATGAAAAATTAACTCATTAACTCAGAAAAACAGAGCAAAAAAAATTCTCATGAAAAATTAACTCGTTAATTCAGAAAAACAGAGCAAAAAAAATTTTTCTCATGAAAAATTAACTCATTAATTCAGAAAAACAGAGAAAATTTTTTTTGTCTCATGAAAAATTAACTCATTAATTCAGAAAAACAGAGAAAAATTTTTTTTCTCATGAAAAATTAACTCGTTAATTCAGAAAAACAGAGCAAAACTTTTTTCTCACGAAAAATTAACTCATTAATTCAGAAAAACAGAGCAAAAAAAAATTTTTCTCATGAAAAATTAACTCATTAATTCAGAAAAACAGAAAAAAAAATGTTCTCATGAAAAATTAACTCATTAATTCAGAAAAACAGAGAAAAATTTTTTTTCTCATGAAAAATTAACTCGTTAATTCAGAAAAACAGAGCAAAAACTTTTTTCTCATGAAAAATTAACTCATTAATTCAGAAAAACAGAGTAGATTTTTTTTTTCTTCAAGTGAATGCAATACGCCTCCGTATCCATTTAAGTGAAATTACTGAATTTAAATATACAAGCTTGATAAAAATTATCATTCTAGAAGAAAATTTCAAATGTCACTTAGAGGCTTTTGCATCTGAACTCTTCATGTATTTATATACGTTTAAATTACTTTTATATTCATATAGAAGAGCTGGGGAGGGGTTATTACAGCAAACACATCTAACAGTATATTATATAACATAACATTGAAACACACATAGATAATCATGTACACACACTCACACTTGTAAGGAAGGACTCGTGTGTAATTATTTCTCTTGTTTGTGTTGAACACATCCAAGTGTTTTCCTCTCCAATGCCTTTAAGAGTTTGTTTTTATTGTTTGCTATATGTATTTTTGACTGTGTGTGTGTGTGTGTGTGTGTGTTCAGCCTCCGGTCCGTGAGGGTCCCATCACTCGCAGCGCCAGTCGAGCCGCGTCTCTACACTCTCTGTCTGACGCCTCATCAGATTCATTCAACCATTCACCAGGTGACACACACACACACACACACTCAGACACACTCACCTACTCTCACACACACACTCACTCACTCTCTCCGGTGTGTGTGTAGAGTCTGTGGACACGAAGCTGAACTTCAGTAATCTGCTGATGATGTATCAGGACAGCAGCCCCGACTCCAGCGAGGAGGACAGCTCTCGGCTCTCCATGTTGCCGCACCTCGCGGATCTCGTCAGCTACAGCATCCAGAAGGTCATCGGATTCGCCAAGATGATCCCGGGGTTCAGGTGAGTCTCCGAAAACACTCACACACTTCAGTTTAAATCATAAAGGCCCTTACACACTCCGTCCGAAATTCTCGTCTGTAATTTTCGACGTAACGTCGCCAATCGCGTTTACACACTGTGTTTGTTGTATCACATGTTTTAGTTATCGCCATAAACGAGGTATCATTCGAAAGCTCACAAACTCAAAACGCATCCTGTGAAGACCGTTTAGAAATTGGATGTTGCGTTACCATGGTGATGGCACTTTAAATTCTTTTAAAACTCCTCCCCTTAGTGGGCGTCGACAGGTTTCATATTACAACATTTATTTTAACTACTTTATAATTAAAAACGTTTCGAATCGTTGAGTCTCAAGGTTGCATATTTGGCGACTATTTTGTGATTTATTAATTTTTTACTGGATAATGCATAAAAATATAAATCAATGAAATGTATTTTTGTATTACGCCTAAACAAAATCTCATAGGAACTTGCGTTTTTTTTTGTTATAGACTTTAAATTTGGGACAAAACTTGGTTAGACGTACATCTTTGATTTTGTACAATTTATATTTTATATAAAAAATTACATTTGAGTAACAGTAAAGTTTAACTACCTTAACTTTTTCATACTTAAATTAAACGCTTGAGTTTTGAAAAGTCAAATTCGAGCAATCACCGTCGACAGATGAGCTCATTAAAATCTCACTGTTATGATAGTTTAATTATAAAGTATATTTGAGACTATAAACTACATAGATCTGACTATAGTTTAAATAAATCTGTTTTTTTAGCACGACACATTGACATTACAGCGCAGGACGGCTCTTTTGCTGAACATTGTATAAGCATTAGTTTCATGCATCACTGAACGCAAGAGAGACTCTCGGCAGCGTAAACGTCCAATTTTCCAGTGAAAAAATGAAAATCCTTCACACAAACATCATAAACAGTAAGTCAGAGAAGGTCTCGTTTTAAGTTTCGTGTCAAGAAACTAAACGTTAATTTTCGTTTCCGTATTATTTATATGTCATTTCAGCTTAATTTCACAGACGTTTTTAATAGTTAGTTAACGATAATAACCCTGCTTGATGAAGAGTGTGTGTGTGTGTGTGTCAGGGACCTGACGGCAGAAGATCAGATCGCTCTGCTCAAGTCCAGTGCCATCGAGATCATCATGTTGAGGTCGAACCAGTCGTTCAGTCTGGAGGACATGAGCTGGAGCTGCGGAGGACCGGACTTCAAATACTGCGTCAATGACGTCACCAAGGGTAAAACACACACTTTTACACCCTCAATCACACACAGACTCACACATGTTAACGCTCTCACCTGTGTGTGTGTGTGTGTGTGCGCAGCGGGTCACACAGTGGAGCTGCTGGAGCCGCTGGTCAAGTTTCAAGTGGGTCTGAAGAAGCTGAACATGCATGAGGAGGAGCATGTGCTGCTGATGGCCATATGTCTGCTGTCTCCAGGTGCGATTTTTAATATCTTTAATCTGAAAAATTAGCCAATCGCAGTAGCCAATCACAGGGGTGTCTCAAAAACACGCTTTGAAATCGCTGGTGCTTCTGACGTCACAAATAACCTCGTAACCAATCAGATCAACGTGTGATCGTCAACCAGTGGATCTCTGAGTGAGTGAGTGAGTGGGGGCGGGGCTCATTTGCATATTCATAGAACCGCACATACTAAATGAGACAAGGGTGTCGAGTTACATTCAAGGTATTTTAAGCGAATTTGGAATTATTAGATTTCAAGGAATGTTACCGTTTTAGCTTTTGAGGGAAGTTTCTTGTTTCACCAGAATATGATAACGACCCTCTAATAAATCAGGAAACTAGAAAAACAGTCCTTCCAGAAAAATGCGGAGTTTTTTTGTGATTGTTGCGGGCAAAAATCCTTGATTACGCGGCCCGTTTTCTTTAAAAATGCGATGGAATATGCGGGATTTTTATGCGATAAAATTGCGGGAACTTGCAAAAACTGCGGTTTGATGAAAAAGACAAAAAAAGTGATTCCCCCAACACCCTGTTCTCACTAGGCTACTACCTTAATGTAAAGAGTCATTTCTTATTACTTCCTTTGATACGCAAGCATACTACATCATAGAAAGTGCTGGGAATATTTAATTTCTCATCTTGTTTTATTTCAGACTGTAACGAGTGTAAATAAGGTGTGCTCCTGTTGAACTCTCTGCAGTGTTATATGTGCGCCTCGAACACCCCATGTGTGCGGGTAATTTCTGTTTGATGAAAAATACGGGCCTGGCTCACACACACACACTTTGAAATGAGAGTAGAGGGCCTGACCTGTTGGTCTGATGTCTGTATAGATGACCACAAGAGAACTGAAGCTCCCCGAGATCAGCCCGAATGCTGCTCGATATTATTTATCATTCATAACAAGGCCATCCGGCTGCTTCAACCTCATATTATCGGTTTAGTCCAAGACGAGGCCTTGCTTTACCCTGAAAACGGATCTTATATGGGTGCAGTACCTCTTTAAGCGTCCATTGTCAAATCTATTGTGATTTTAATACTCAGAATATCATGTTTGATCAATTCATTTGTCATCAAGCATAATCGACCGTCAACCCATTTTTATGTAAATCGCCCTATAAAGTAATCCGTTTTATTTCAAATTCAGAAAATTGATGTACAATGATCCAAAATTGACATCCTCAAATGGTTGGTAAAATGGTTTTGCACAAATGCACCAATTTAAACCCAAATCCCCCCAGTGGTTTTACCTCCAAACACACTGAATTCATGATAACGTTGCATGAATTTAGCGTGTCCCGTTCCAGCGGGTTCTGCGCTGATCTCTTGTGGTCATGAGCTGTAAATACCACTTGTTTCTGTACATATGTCTAATGAAACGGATAGGCTAATACAGTTGAAGCAGCAGCTTGGGAGAAATATGCAAATCTGCTACTTCCTTTATCTTATGTTGTTTATTAAGTAACGATGTAACGGTAGAACGTGCGACAGACAGTTATACGAGTTCGATTTGTGAGATGTCAATCGCCTCCGTGAGTCTGTCTGGTCTCTGCAGTAACTTCAGCTGTGAGCGATCCCGTCGCGTAATTGCGTCACTTCATAACGTTCCCATGGAAACAGGAGGAAATGGCTGCTCTTGTGTGAAGCAAACGCAACATTTTTCAACTTTCTGCTAAGATATATGTGGCTTTTTTTGCAACGAAAATGCGAGGATTATAAAATCATGCAAACCCCGCATATTTCGCACGGAAATCGGCAATTTATGCGGCGAAAGTGCGGCATATTTGAAAAATGCGGCCCCCGCATAAATATGCGGACTTTGGCTGATTTTGCGTTGAATTCAGCGATCGCATAATCGCGTTTTTCTGTAGGGACTGGAAAAATAATCCCCACATAGCCGTCTGTGCTTACGGGTGAAAGTGCAATAATTCTAATGAATTTCATACATTTTTTTTGCACAAAAGTGAAACCACAATCAACCAGCACTTTAATGACTCTCGTCCTCCCGCAGATCGCCCGGGCGTTCAGGACCACGTGCGCATCGAAGCGCTCCAGGACCGCTTGTGTGACGTTCTCCAGGCGTACATCCGCATCCATCACTCGGGCGGGAGACTCGTCTACGCGAAGATGATCCAGAAGCTGGCGGACCTGCGCAGCCTGAACGAGGAGCACTCGAAGCAGTACCGCTCGCTGTCCTTCCAGCCCGAGCACAGCATGCAGCTCACGCCCCTGGTGCTCGAGGTGTTCGGCGGCGAGGTGTCCTAGCATCCGAGGGCCCCCCGGAGCACTCCCGGACCCACGCCGGATCCCAGACCCGGGAGCTCGGCGCTTCGGCTAGGAGAGCGTCACGGTTCACACTGCGGGGGGCTGTAGAGAGAGAGAGAGAGAGAGAGAGAGAGAGAGAGAGGTGTGTGTGTGTGAGAGGGTGGTGCACAGGTCTGGATAATAGAGAGAGACACGCACTGCAAACAAATGCTTTTCTTACTTAGTATTTTTATTTTTAAGCGTCAACTGGGAATGGAATTCCCCCCGGAAAACAGAATATAATATCTTACATCATTTTACTCATCTAGTAAATGCATCTTGATTTAAGAAATGTTTGATATTTGGACTGGAAACAAGACAAAAATACTAATTAAGAAAAGCATTTTTTGCAGTGTGTGCGTGTGTTGGTGTGTGTGTGTGTGTGTGTGTGTGAGGGTGGTGCACAAGTCTGGATAATGTTGCGGAATTCCCGCATTTATGCTACTGGGAATTTCCGAACGGAATGTATTAATAATGTATGAGTAGAACCATGCATATACACTAATATTTATATTAGAGAGAGAGAGAGAGGTATGGCCAGGTGATCCTCTGTTGTAATAGGATTAGCAGGCTCTTCTAGTTCATTGGATAAATGAGTGTGTTTGTGTGACGAAATTAGATTTAAATTCACAGTGGCTCTGTTTCAAAACCTAGCCAACGCCCTAGGTAGACTGCGTGGTATGGGTCACGAATGCAATCCCATAATGCAATGGTGGGAAAAACCATCCCATACTGCGAATTTTTAATTTTTTTTAAATGTTTCAATCAGCGACATTGTTGCATTTCTATGGAAGAGGATTAGGGCCAAGCAAAAAAGAAAAACTAAATTAAATCATTATAATAAGTCGAAATACAATGTTGAGAATAAACTTGAGTTTTCTTCATTGAGAGATAAAAAAACGTCACATTTCTAGGAAAACAATGTTGAGAACAAATTCATTAAACTCGACAATAAAGAAAAAACCTCAAAATAAAACGGTGAGAATAAACTCATTAAATTTGAACTGGTGTCTCCTTGAGGTGCGTTATAATCAATTTTTGATTATAAGTATATATAATTCCTTCACTCGCATTGATTAGCAACATACCAACGTCCAATTCTATTTCAATCCATTGCAAATTAGGTTAATTGCTATTCATACGAGTTACGAATCTAGGTAGTGCGTCACTTTAAACCTCCTTTTTCGGAAATTTTTTTAGTTTACTAGGTTTTGGGACGGTTGCCATTTTGACTCGCTGTGTGTGCAGATTTATGAGCCAAAATATCACAAAAATACGGGCCTGGCTCACACACACACACTTTGAAATGAGAGTAGAGGGCCTGACCTGTTGGTCTGATGTCTGTATAGATGACCACAAGAGAACTGAAGCTCCCCGAGATCAGCCCGAATGCTGCTCGATATTATTTATCATTCATAACAAGGCCATCCGGCTGCTTCAACCTCATATTATCGGTTTAGTCCAAGACGAGGCCTTGCTTTACCCTGAAAACGGATCTTATATGGGTGCAGTACCTCTTTAAGCGTCCATTGTCAAATCTATTGTGATTTTAATACTCAGAATATCATGTTTGATCAATTCATTTGTCATCAAGCATAATCGACCGTCAACCCATTTTTATGTAAATCGCCCTATAAAGTAATCCGTTTTATTTCAAATTCAGAAAATTGATGTACAATGATCCAAAATTGACATCCTCAAATGGTTGGTAAAATGGTTTTGCACAAATGCACCAATTTAAACCCAAATCCCCCCAGTGGTTTTACCTCCAAACACACTGAATTCATGATAACGTTGCATGAATTTAGCGTGTCCCGTTCCAGCGGGTTCTGCGCTGATCTCTTGTGGTCATGAGCTGTAAATACCACTTGTTTCTGTACATATGTCTAATGAAACGGATAGGCTAATACAGTTGAAGCAGCAGCTTGGGAGAAATATGCAAATCTCATATTTTCATAACGTTTTTCGGTGTCTTTCTCTCTCAGACGACATTTAATAAGCTTTTACGACCGTATCTATTCCTGATGCTTTTTAGGTGCGAATATATAATGACGGCTAATCATGGCTTAGTTTTGTACGGATTTTGAGAACTCAAACTGGACTATGTTTTTATTTCTGCAAAACCGCTGCCTCAAACCAGCCAAACTGAAACACACACACACACACATAAGGACTCGTGGAAGGAAGCTTTAACGTTACTGCGGGTGAAACGGGAAAAGGGGCTGCTAACGAAAGAGACGACGTCTGCTCGATCTCCGCTGCAAACGAAAGACTTTTCGAGAGTTTGGACGAACCATACGTGTATATACCAGTTCACGATAAGCTTCGGACTAGATTTATTAGCTAAGAATGGAGTGTTTTTGCCCCTTTTCGCTCACAGATGGACACACACCCGTCTCTGCCTCCATTGCCTCAAACGCAACTGGATCACTTGCATCCGATCAACAAGGGAAATCAAACAAACCCGCTCTGTACTCAACAGGACCTCAACAGCCAAACAGTTTTGGGTTTTGCTTCATTGGTTGTCAACGGACGGAGAAAAGTGTCTCTTAATCAGTATTTCCGCGAGTAGAGGAACATCTCTATGCACTTTTGGATCAGTTATTATGAGTCTTTGTTGATGTTCTTGGCTAATGGCTCGACGTGTTGTGATGCGCAACTAGACTGAAGAAACCCAGTGCTCATCAATCCCATCATGCACTTTCCCTCCCTGAGAAGTCCTCTCAAAGCGGGTTTCTTGAGTCTAGCTGAAGGAAATTGACGCGGGTATACGAATCGTTTGATGACTGACTGTCTGAATGCTGATTGTAAGGAAAACACAAACCACCAGGTGCCGTTGTTAACCAAAATGAACTACCTCTCTTCACACATGTAATCATTACACCATTTCAATGTTTGTTTGTTTCCTTTTTTTAAAGAAACACTATAAATCCCTTACTTATTTATTCCTCTCTGACTCAAATGCTGGACTGTTTTTACCTCAAGACGTCTCCATGAGCTTGCAGCTTAAGCGGCGCTTTACTCGCCTGTAATTGCGTCCGTCGTATTTACAACTCGTGAATACGAACCTCCCAGTAGGACTTAACAACATTTTGGACTTGAGCATTTCGTTTGGACATTATTCCAGACGAAACGCGCATCTTGGCGACTCCCGCTAGCCTGACCGCTAGGCTAGCATCTGTCAGTATTCACTCTTTCTCATTGCAGAATGTCAAAGCATTGACAACCAAGCTAGCTAATCCCAAAGTATCTTTAAGTATTGTCTGTTAAGCACTCTCGCCATTTGAAAACTGTGTATATCTACATTAGCATTAGCAATAGCATGTGCTTTGAAGTTCTCATCTGTATTCGAGCTAATCTCAAGAGGCATCTTTGCTATTCTGTTTACTCTTCCGGATTTTTTTAACCTCAATCGTGGGAGGAGCTCAAAGCATTCCCTCATAACGTTATATTATTATTTATAATAATGAATGCTTTTATTATTGCTGATGAAATCAAAGACTGCGACATAGTTCAAGCCCAGATCCGGTACATGCGGATTCAACGTTGTGGGATTAATGATAAGTTCAAAAATAAATGAATGACATTTATTCTTATTATTAATTCCATTTAATTAATTTTTGAATACACCCTCCGACCATTGACGCTGCTTCCCATTGCGATGCCGGTTAAATCTGGTTTTATTCGGCCCTTTATCCTTCTCTCTCTTGTTTACACCTGTATTAAGATGCGTTTTGGTCGACCGGATCGTAAGTAGACGACAGAGACCTTCCCGTTTACACCTGGTGTAGAAAAAATGTGTTTTTCATCTTCGAACCAAACTCGGGTCTACATCAGGTCTACATGGCTAGTGCGTTTCCCATGTTTACTCACTGGGTCAGTCGCATTTGAGCAGCGTTTACACTAGGAAAGTGCTTTTCCACTGTCTCTGGAAGTTTAAAACATTTCAGACGCCGTTTACACCTGTATTTAGCGTCGTCCACTTGTGATCCGATCGACCAAAATAGTGCTTTACTCAGTGTTTTTGTCTTGTTTCCAGCCCAAATATGTAAAAATTCTTAAATCAAGATGCATTTACTAGATGAGTAAAATGATATAAGATATTATGTCCTGTTTTCTGGAGAATTGATCCAAATTAAGTGAGTTGATGCTTAAAACGAGAAAAATTATTGCATTGAAATTAGGGCTGTCAAACGATTAATCGCGATTAATCGCATCCAAAATAAAAGTTTGTGTTTACATAATATATGTGGGTGCACTGTGTATATACATATAAATTATAAATATGCATATAAATATTTAAGAAAAAAAATTATATTTATATATAATATAAATTATATATAAATCTAAATGCAGTATATAAATGAAAATATTTCTTATTTATACATTTTATTTATTTATATATATAAATAAATATATTGACGCGGGTGTATTTGTATGTGTATTTTTTTATATATATATATATATAAAATAATTATACACAGTGCACCAAATATTATGTAAACACAAACTTTTATTTTGGATGTGATTCATCGCGATTAATCGTTTGACGGAGCTAATAGAAATGTTGTTTCTGTTTGAATTAAGATAATTTTTCTCACTCCATTGGCAGATAATTTTGCTTTTTTAAGCATCAACTCACTTAATTTGGATTAATTCTCCAGAAAACAGGACATAATATCTTATATCATTTTACTCATCTAGTAAATGCATCTTGATTTAAGATTTGTTTAATATTTGGACTGTAAACAAGACAAAAACACAGAGTAAGAACAGCATATTCAAACAAACAAACACCTATCAGCTAAACCTTCACTGTCACCTTCATTTCTGCCACTTCAACCACACACACACACAGATTCTCCACCAGCATTTGCTTTACAGACAGAAATCCTCAGCGTAGAAGTCATATTTGGTGTTTTATCAGTGATGGAGAGACCGACGGGTCACCGGATTCTCCATGCTCAGTTAAAGACCTCTGTGTGCCTATACAGCCCAAAGCCTTATTTCGGGAGCGTGTCGGGCTTCAGCTTCTGTAGTTCTGTCCATTCATTCATGAGTAACAATCACCGTCAAGACTGAACACACGGGAAATTTGGACATGAAGTGTTGGCGTTAGACTCGCCGGCCAGAAGTGAATAACTACCCAGCCAACATTTGTATGTGGGGCCCATATGGGTATGAAATGGGCTGAAAAATGGGCCCCATGTAGGATTGTCCGCGGGTTACATAATGGCCCCATGTTAATTGCCCAGATAAATTTCATGTTGGATTGCACTTGGTACTACGCCGGACCCAAGTGGGCAACATGCACAAGACCCATCTCGGTCCCAGCTTTAACCCAGCCGATATTTATATGTGGGGCCCATGTGGGTTTGAAATGGGCTGAAAAATGGGCTTTGATTGGGATTGTCCACGGGTTACATAATGGCCCCATGTTAATTGCCCAGATGAATTTCATGTAGGATTGCACTTGGTACTAGGCCGGACCCAAGTGGGCAACATGCACAAGACCCATCTCGGTCCAGCTTTAACCCAGCCGATATTTATATGTGGGGCCCATGTGGGTTTGAAATGGGCTGAAAAATGGGCTTTGATTGGGATTGTCCGCGGGTTACATAATGGCCCTATGTAAATTGCCCAGATGAATTTTATGTAGGATTACACTTGGTACTAGGCCGGACCCAAGTGGGCAACATGCACAAGACCCATCTCGGGCCCAGCTTTAACCCAGCCGACATTTGTATGTGGGTCCCATGTGGCTTTGAAATGAAAAGTGGGCTCTGTATGGGATTGTCCACGGTTACATAATGGCCTATGTAAATTGCCCAGATGAATTTTATGTAGGATTACACTTGGTACTAGCCGGACCCAAGTGGGCAACATGCACAAGACCCATCTCGGGCCAGCTTTAACCCAGCCGACATTTGTATGTGGGTCCCATGTGGCTTTGAAATGAAAAGTGGGCTCTGTATGGGATTGTCCACGGGTTACATAATGGCCCTATGTAAATTGCCCAGATGAATTTTATGTAGGATTACACTTGGTACTAGCCCGGACCCAAGTGGGCAACATGCACAAGACCCCATCTCGGGCCCAAGCTTTAACCCAGCCGACATTTGTATGTGGGTCCCATGTGGCTTTGAAATGAAAAGTGGGCTCTGTATGGGATTGTCCACGGGTTCCATAATGGTGCCATGTAGAATCGCCCAGGTGGGTTTCATGTAGGATCGCACTTATAAACAGGTGGGCCCCAACTGGGCAACATGCACAAGACCTATCTTGGTCCCAGCTTTAGTTTTTTGTGGGTTACTACAAGGTTACTATATGGGCTGAAAATATGGGCTTTAAGTGGGTTGTCCATAGGTTCCATGCTGGCCCCAGCAACTTGCTGGATTTCAGGATTCAGGATTTCTTTTATACAGGATTTCACAGGGCTTAGGTGGGGCCCAACTAGGAATCATATGCATGTGGCCCAATTAGGGATCATCTGGCTCCATCTAAATGAGTAGCAACACCACACAAACAAGTTTTAAAGCATTAGAGCACACAGTGATATTGAATATTTTCAATTTTAATTAAAATTACTCATCATCATATTAATGCTATATTCTGAAATTCCAGGGACAATATTTAAAGAAGCAGATTTATGTCAGATTAAAGAGTTCTATTTAATACCTATTTGTTAAAATACATATTTTGAACCTGTATTGACCCAGTCTTTACTGAACATTTGAACAGGATATAAATTGGTGACAGTTAGAAGAAGCAGCAACTATACAGTACATTTATCAGTACAGCTTACACTGCAGACAGTCATTTGCGCATCTAGACACTCTCCTCCTCCATCTCTTGTCCTGGACTATTTTGAGAGTTCCCTCTCAGTTCCTTGCCAGTTGATCTGTGTTGTCTTCTAAGAGCCTCTGCAAAACATTTTTTTTTTTTTTTTTAGGGATTTTGATTTTAGAAAAAATCATGTTACTTACACGTCACAATACCTTATGACAGAATAACAATTTTTACTCAGGATAAAAAAAAAACAGCAAAAAAATTATATAGGAATGGTGACGGTTTTGGAATGTCACTGGAAGGGCATTTGGAAAGCAATAAAAAACAGTTTATAAAGTATGCATAATGAGTAATAATGATTTATGATTACTTTTAAAGTAAAATTAGGAATGCTCCGATCAATCGGCCAGATATTAGGGTTAAGGTTAACTAAGTAAGTAAGTAAAAGTTTATTTATATAGCACATTTCACAGGTACAAGGCAACAAAGTGCCTAGAACAAAAAACATTAATATCATAAAATACACACAATAAAAGCATAGACAGTACATGACCATATCATGTAACACAGGTACCTAATTAAAAGCCTGAACAAATAAATGAGACTTTAGTCTGCATTTGAAGGCATCAACAGAGTCAAAAGAGCGCATATACAGTGGGAGGGGGTTATTAAACGCCTTCTGAAGCAAAGCCATGAGTTTGTGTAAGAAAAATATTCGGTAACGCTTTAGATTACAGCCCGGAATGTACTATGTAATTAAGAGGAATTTACAGTGTAACTTTCTGCAATTATAGTGTACCTATAAAGGACTTGCATGTAAGTATATGGGTAAAGTTTTGGGAATAATGGGGTAACAACCAGGATAATAAAAATATATATTTATACTGTAAGTATTATAGAAATAAGGGTTACTTATTCTACTATTATGATACAACAGTCTTACATTTGGGAGCAATTTAGAAGAACATACACTGCAAACCTTTTTGTAAAAATTGTGTATCAATACTGTATAGGCTTTTTTTAAAGGACAGGGTACATAGGCATTTATACAATTCTTTAATTTTTTAAAAAAAAATTATAGCAAAAGTGCAGATGTTTAAGTTTTGGCTAACATGTTTCAAGGCAAGAAAAGCTAAGACTATTGCATTTTTTTTTAAATACTGGGACATATATTTTGTTTGATGTGGTTACAGGGTAAGTGGTGCTTGTATAATAAATAAAGGTTTCCAAGTCAGTGATATAAAACTGTGTATGTATTTTTATTGTACTTACCCTGTAACTACATGGAACAAGGGGGTAACAAGCACCACCACATGAAACAAGTGTATCTTTCCCCAATATTTAAGCAAAAGTTGCAAATAGTTTTTTT